ATGGTGGCAGTTAGAGCTCTCCTACAAAGGATGAGTTGGGGGCAATGGACCTCTAGGATGGGCGGCATTGGACATTTAGGTGGACCCTGGTAGAGACTGTGTCACTCTTGGGTCAATGCTGTGCTCCACCAAGAGAAGAGACATTTAGCCTTTAATTGGCCAGATCAGAACTTTGTGTGAAATAACAGAAAACGACTGATGGAGGCCACTCCCTGGCAATCCACTTCCCCGCCGTGCAAAAGGCCTTTTGCTCCGCAGGATTGGTGTTTTAGTCTCTTCAGTCTCTGCATCTCCTAGGGCACTGCCTTCTTTTTTATCCGCTGGTGGAGCCCGCCTCATCAGGCATCAGCTCCCACAGTGCCCCCTGCTTGGTTTAGTAAGCTGCTCCCCACCGTTGGTGCGAAGCTGGGCTGGGTAGAGCTAGCACTGGGGCTGCTGTTCTCCGTGCCAGTGCTGAATCCATTTCCCAGTAGGACTGGCCGAATCTTCTCACTTATTCCCCTACCGACCCTCCCACCCTCTCAGTCAGGACCCTACTAGCATGAGCAGAAGGCTGTCAGTGTGGCCCTGCCAGAGTTGATTAAATTGCTAGTCGGAGTAGCTCTCTCTTGCATGCAGTGATTCACATTATTTGGCTGTCTTTCACGTGGATCTTTCCTTCATGATTGACCTGGTAGCGCTTCCTTGCCATTTCTTTGCAACATGAGTATTCAACCTCTGATTACCGAGGTGGGTATCAATCTTATTCCTGTTTTTGTGTTTCTTTGATCATTTTGGTGGGAATTAGGCCCTCTCTCATTTATGTATATTTTGGTTGTGTTTAATAAATAGCTGCTACCTGTCTACTCTGTTGGGGAGTGTGCTTAGCTCTGGCTACAGTGGTGAGAAGAAACCGACAGTTAAGGAAGCTGCAAAGAGTCTGTGGAAAGGTGAAATTAAAAGATGATAGAATTCTTCCATAGACTGTCAAAGCTCCACTGTAGGCCCTGTTTTCAGCATATCACTGGGGAGTAGAGGGAATGTGTGAGGGAGGGAAACAGTAACCAAGTCATTGTGCCAAGAAGCAGAAACCATAACTCTCTTGAGATCTTTAAGATCTCAAATGGCAATGAGATCAAAAAAGGTGCCCTTGAGCAATGGGGACTACAGTGGAAGTTATAGATGAGTGAGGGTTCATTAGGGGAAGGTGGAAGTAAAGGGCATTCCATGCAAGGAACACCATTCATGAAGCACTCTGGCGGGAAGGAATGGAGTTGGGGTAGAGGTGGGACAGGATCGTATTTGAAATGTACCATGATCACCAGGATGCAGTGTGAGGAGTGAGTTGGAGAGGAACCATCGTGGGTGGGTAGGTGGACCAGTTAGGAGGTGGCTCCAGTGATCCAGGTGAGAGATGTTGGTTGCTTGGCTTAATCCAGATGGTGCTGGTAGAGATGGTAATGATGATAGAGTTGATAAGCACCTTAGTCTGAGGTCCGAGTTCAACTTCTTTATGGGTTTCAAGATCATAAATTCAGAAGAAACTAGATTCCTTTTAACCATAAACTCATTCATCATGCCCTTCTCTTCTTCTGTCTTGAAGCTTGTAAGCAGGGCAAGTAATAAGCTTGTTCTAATTTCAACAAAGGAAAGGGGCACGATTGGCCGTGTCTAGTACAGAGCTGTTCTATGAATGGTGACTTGGCTCTTCTCTCAAGCTTTTGAGGCCTAGATGAGACTAGCTGATGTCAGGACTGTAGCGATCAACCTCTAAATCGGGGTAGCAAGTTTTCACCCTCTCTCTTTATATTAAGGTGACCAGATTTAAAAGTGGGACACCATTGACTGGGGGGGGCTTGATTAAAAATTTGGTCTATACGGACTAAATAGACCATTCCCTAGCTTGTCGTGCATTCTTTCCAAAAATCGGGACCTTTAAAAAATGCCAAAAATCAGGACTATCCCACCAAAAGCGGGACGTCTGGTCACCTTACTTTATATATTTGGGTCAGACATTCATTAATTGTCTCTCTGTCTCCGTCTGTCTCTCTGCCACTCACTCACAAACACATTCTCTGTGTCTCTGTCTCTGTCTCTGTCTGTCTCTCTCTGCCACTCACTCACAAACACATTCTCTCTCTCTAAAGTCTAGGTAAGACCTAAGAATGCTTCTCCAGAAGTCCTTAGAAGCCTACGCCAGTAACACTTATTTGAAACCTACTTGCCATTAACTGCATTTTTATAGATAGTGATTAGAAGTCTACAGACAAATAAGACCCTGACACTGGCTCCTTGATTTCCCCATGAAAATGGCAATGGCCCCAGGAGATCTAACCCTCCCTTTCCCTTGTGCTCCATCTCTGTGGCCCTGCATTCGTTTACCAGCAATGTAGTAATCTGATGCCATAAATAGCCGAGTAGACAAAAGCTCTTCATTTACTTTTAGCAATGGTTTTTTCAGGATCAGAGTTAGGTATGTTGCTTAGCATTGGCAGTCCACAGAACACGGTTAGGCAGGATGGTGGCTAGATGAGGCCAATACACTTCTAGAATCTGACTGCTTGCATTTATACATCAGTTATCACATGCCTTAGTTATATGATGATCATATGTCGTTATTTTACCTTCCTGTACCTCTGTTTCCGCATTTGTAAGGGAATATAATAACAGTGTCTACCTCCAATGATGATGATGAGAATTGAGTGATGCAATGGATGATAGCTGGACCAGCACCCACACCGAGAAGTCACCGTTCAGTCAACCAGCAGACAGACTTAAAGAGTCAACAATAAAACCGGTGAGGAGCATGCTCCTCAGAACAAGCCGCCAAAGGAGATCAAAGGGGAACATTTGTCCAGAAACAAGGTGTAGAAGGCAGCAGGCACAAGAAAGATGGGCAAAAGGAATTAGAGAAACTTGGAAGGCAATGGGAAGAGTGATGTGATGTTGAGGGAATTGCAACTAATGCCATGAAGTAAAATGTGTGTCAGTTTTGGGATGGAAAACAGATTTGCTCAGTGAACTTTCACCCAAACAACAGTAAAATGTTGAAGAGAAGCATGCACACACACACACACGCACACATACGAGGGGGTACCTCCCAAAACGAGTAGAAAGCTCCACTGGGTGGAGCTTTCATGGTACACATTTTTCCTGCTAGACGAGCACCAAGCAGCTCACTGAGTTAGTGCACCCAGTGATGTCACCTGAGAAGGTTCTCTCTGGTCACAGTGAATTTTTTTCGTAAGTAAGAGCAGTTTTGCTCAAACCTTGTTTTTTGCGATGGCCGGTTTAAGAGAACAGTGTGTCACTGTGAGGTTTTTGTTTTCTGCTCTGGAAAAATGCCACCGAAATTGTGATGTTGAACACAACTTCCAAGGACAGCACTATGGGAGAAACTCAAGTGTACGAGTGGTTTTCTCCTTTCAAAAAAGGTGAAATGTCAACCGATGACAAACCTCATTCTGGACGTCCGTCAATTTCCCCAACAGACGAAAATGTTGACTCCTAGTACATTTGGAGTTTGGTCCACCAGGTCAGACTGTTAATGAAGCTTTCTATTTAGAGGTTCTGAAAAGATAGTGTAACAGTGTGTGACCCAAAAGGCCTGATTTGTAGCAGACGGGGGCTGGTTTTGCCACAAAGCACCTGCTCACACACCCATCTCAGTGCACCAGTTTTTGGCAAAAACAGCATGCCTCTCTTGCCCCACACACCTTACTCACCTGACCTCACTCTGTATGACTTCTTTTTATTTCCGCGAATGAAGAGGGACATGGAAGGACAGCAATTTGACGATATATTTGATGACATAGAAGATATGAAGAAAAAACAAGGGAGATGCTATCAGCCATCCAAACAGATGAGTTTCAAAAATGTTTCCAAGAATGGAATCGCAATTGTGACAGATGTATTAAGTGTAATGGAGAGTCCTTTAAAGGTGATAAGGTTGTTTTGTAAAAAATTTTAAATAGATAGCTTTGGGGAAAAAATTTCCAGTTTTGGGAGATATATCCATAGACAAACTCAACAAGTGTTAAGCACTTAGTTTTATATTAAAAAAAAAGTATCAATATTTTTCTTGTAGTTTTCCTTGGGAAATTTTGTGTTTTCCTTGAATTTTAAAAAATCTGTTTTCACACCTTCATCTCTCTGAAATATACATGAAATTATGAGGTAACAATTTCTTATAAAATTGAGCATCTAGCTTACTGGGTAAACCTTGCGTTGGTGTGATGAGATGTGCCCCTCTGGGAAAATGTGTTATAATGAGTCTGGAATTGTTGGCAAATCTTGCTGAAAGTTGTGAGCAGATATAAAAGGGTAACAAATTTTTTTTTAAAGACATGCCATTTTCCCAGGATCCTACTGAGAAATCTAAAAAGGAGAAAATAAGTTAAATCTTGAGTCAGTGATTTTGGGACAGGTATACCAAGCCTGTTCTCCTTTTCCTGCATCTCCTTCTAGCATTCAGCCCCTTAAGCACTGTTCATCTGTAAGCTTCACTTCGCCAGAGCTGGAGTCCAGCCTGCTTGCCTTGCAAGGGGCCAGTTGGTCTTTTGGAATCTGAATGAACCACAGAGCTTTCTCTGCGTTTAGTAGAGTCTTGAATTCATGCCAGCCATTAATTGTTCTCCAGACTTTCCTGTGAAGGCAGGCTAAACTTGAGACTTGGCTTTCTGTCTCGCCATCTGTGTGCTACCACTTGTCCACATGTGCTGTGTCATGTGATTCTTGTTCCAAGAAGTATCACTCGGTAGTAGAACATGTTCAGATTTAAATTTACCCTTGTTCACCTCTCTTGCAGGTTAGGAATGCCTTGCTTTTGATCTCTTAAAGACCATAGCAGTAGATTCTACAGGAGCTTAGTGGACAGAGCCTAAATGAGACAGTTAGCTTCTAGGCTGAGCCCTCTAGCTTGTGTTGTTGGATTTGGCTTTCTCCTGGGTGGAAACATGTAGACAGAAGGGAATTGCAAATGGCTACCCAGCTACCTAATCGAGCGCTCTTTTCTCCCCTAGCTTATTTCCAGTGATGCCGATGGAGCTATCCAAAGGGCTGGAAGATTCAGAGTGGAAAATGGCTCTTCAGATGAGGTAAGGCAGCCTCCTGGGTTCTGTACTGCTCCCAAGCACATGATTGTAGTGTGTGTGATTTAGTATGTGTTTGAACACTGCCCTACAAGGAGCTTAGAAAGAGTGAACAGCGCTTCATAGCTTTGCTTGAAGCAGACACGAAAGGTGAATGCCATTATTCTGTGTCTGGAAGGTGTTCCTGTGTGTTTTAAAATGTCTATAATTAAACCACGTCGCCCCATGAAGGTGTTCTGCCAGTAATGGGACCAGAGAATTTTTCTCCCTAGGATGCCCTGCATGAATGGCCCCTGGAATCCCAGCTGTACCCTAAGACCAGGCTTGCTCAACGTTCTCCAGCCACAGATTATATGAACATGATCCGAGCGGAGGGAATGGGTGCAAAACAATTCTGTGTCTACAGAACGTTGTCCTTATTCAGAGCAGGCATGATGGAAGGAGGCCATGCCCCTCCATCGCTCCTTGAGCCCAAGTCCTCTTCTGGACTCTGTCCTTCCTTGCTGCAGGCCACAAGAATAGCCCTTGATTTTCTTGCTTCCTTAGAACTGCAAGTTCCCTGGCTTTGAGTCAGACAAGCTTAGGTTCAAGTTCCTAGTTCCATCATCTGTAGCAAATCACCTAGCCTTGCTAAGCCTTTGGTTTTTTTCATCTGTAAAATGAAAACGGTCTCAAAATCATTGTAAAGATTCAGGGAGCCCCCCAGAGTAATTTATTTCAAAGGATGGCATTGAATCTGCAGCTCCGGGAGAGGGACAT